GTGATTTTTAAGATTTATGATTTATGTTTGGAAATATAAAACTAGTTGTCGCTACATTATGTTTGATATCCAAAATTACAACTCGTTTTCGGTAAAACCTTCAAATTCTGAGTCCGAATCAATGTCCTCGAATAATTGGCGCAACTTCTCTAAATCGCAAGCGCTAGCCCCTCAGTGGCACAGCGGTATTTCTGCGGACTTACAACGCTAGAATCCGGGTTTCGATACCCGTGGTGGGCACAGCACAGATAGCCCATTGTATAGCTTTGTGCTTAATTACAAACAAACAAAGCAAGCGCTAAGACAAACTCGCTTTTAAATATTTTAAGGATACTCTAACACTTTGACAATGTTTACTTGCTGGCTGCGATTGCAAAGATAGCAGTAGTATGAGCGCGCAATTAGAGTTATACAGACATTCTTGTCATCAAAGGTTACTTTGACCGCAGTATTGCAAAAGTCTAAGTGCATATTATTTATGGTGATAAGGCAGATTTGACTCTGTTGTTGAAAACTAGAGTATGTACTATTATATCTGAAAGCGTATTATATTCGTAAAGTTACGGTAGGTTCCCTGACCAGTTGTTGAAGAAAACTATCCTGAATTGTTTTTAAAAACATGTCTCCTTCATTGTTTCAACAGTTTGACTATAACATTTCCTAATCTATACGCCTGGTATTAAAATCACCCATAATTATGGGCTCAATAACAGTTGAGATCTTAAGTATCACTATAGAGATTCTTATTAATGCCATCAGTTTCTGCCAATATCCATCAAAAGAAACTCAAACAAATTTAATGTCCTTGCTAATATCTTTGATATCCTCATCCTCAAACTTTACATATAAATCCATTCCTCCTCCTCTCTTTGGACCCTGCTCCTATTAAATAAGCTATAACCCTCTATTTAAAAGATCTGTCATCAAAATTCTCTAACCTTAGCAAAGTTTCAGTTACTCCAATTATATCAGTGTTATAATACTGTGTTACAGCTAGTGCTTTAAAGACATCTATTTTATTTCTTATTGTTGCGTCAGCGAGGTCACGTGACTAGTATCACACCACTCCTTCTCTCGAACCTTCGGGAATTATCGGGAGATTACTAGATATATGTTAGTCTGGTATATATATATAAGACGCTCACAACGTGACGGGACAACAGTGTAATGAGTAATTGAATGTATGCGGACAAAATATTGTTGGCCACGTGAGATATAGCGTTTGTTATATCG